TTGTACACACACACACACACACACACACACACACACAATACCATGTGAAGACACAAAGAGAAGATATCTACGTGCAAGATAGGGAGAGAGACTTCAGAAGAATTCAACCTTGACGACAATATCGATCTTACTTCTTGACTTCAGAACTGTGAAACAATAAATTTTTGTTGTTTAAGACAAACAGACTGTGCTACTTTGCTGTGGCAGTCTTAAAAGACTAATACAGGTACTAAATATAAAGTGTTTTCTTTGGAGCCAGAACCAAGGATGAATTCTTTGGGATGGTGCTCTAACAAAATAAAACAAAACAAACAAAAGAAATTAGTTCTATATGATTTCCAGTTATTCAAATGTTTGGATTTTCCAACTAACAAAGAGAGAACTTGTTCATACTTTGATTATATCTGAACTTTTAAAACAAGGCTAAGCCTTTCCCAGAATAAGTTTGTATCCATGCTTTATGCTATATTCAAAAGTGAACTACAGAGAGATTAAAGACCTAACTGCAAGAAGTAAAAAGCTTATAAAATAAAATGTAGCCTATGGGTGTATAAAGACTTTTAGAACATGAAGCTAAGTCTTCAAATCACAATGTCAAAATTGCATGGATTTAACTACATCAAAGTGAAGAAGTGTGGTTCAATGACACTGTCTCCTCTGCTCCGCCCTTCTCCACTCTACTCTGCGCTGTCTGCCTCTCTGCTTTCACAGTCTGCTCTGCTCCGTTGAGACATCCTGGGTGTTTTAGCTCTAGCCTGGGAAACAGCACAGTGCTCACTCTTCAGTGAAAGGAAAAGTGCACTGCGTGAGCCTGAGGGGAGCTGGCTAATATAAACAAAAGTCCCTGCTCCTGGTCCCTGACTGGTCCATGTTCATGCAAATAAGGACTCCAAATCCTCGAAGTTTGATTGGTCCTAACAGCGCTGTCCCGATTGGTCATAATAGAGCCTTTCTGACCGGTCAGAGCTATGCAGCTGAATGGATGGGGAAAGTGTCATTCCTATTGTTTGAAACAGGATTCCAGCAACTCCTTTATAAGGGCTGGCTCAGCTGGCAGAAACACAGGGCAGATGTTTCAGGGCAGAGGCAGGTAGTTACCTCAGCCCAGGCTTCTTCCTGAAGTGTAGTTTGCTTGAGGAAAGCAAACCCTGTGTAGAAATGTCTGCTAGGATCTGTTTTGTTCTGCTTTCTAATTTGACCTTAGCCACCAGGAGCCCTTCTTATTAAGTATCTTTTTCCTCTGTGTTCACAACAGATACCCTAGAAAAACTTAACAGACTAGAAAGATATCTATAACATCTAAAGACAGAGGAGGTTATTATCTAGATTATCTTCCTCCCCCAAAATAAAAACAAAACAAAAAACAACTTCTGCAAATCAACAGGAAAGCAATGCAATACTCAACAGAAAAATAGGCAAAGGATATGAACAGGTAAATCTCAGGAAAGGGGCAAATGTCTGACAAGCATATGAAGAAAAGCTCAACACCATTAGCAACAAAAATACTGAAAAATTAAACAGTAAAAATCCACATTGTCCATTAAAACTGCAAAAACTAGAATATTGCATGATGTCAAGTGTTGGAGAGAACATAGGAAAAACAAACTATTAGATTTTGTTGCAGGGAATATGAACTAGTCCATTAGTCCTAGAAAGTAATCTAACAGTCAGTACTGAGGAAATTGAGCATGGGAATGTCCTATAATCGAGCAATCAACTTCTGGGTATACAGCTCAGAAATATCTCTGATCCTTTTGAGAACATGTACCGGATATTCCTAGCTACATTATTTATAATGTGGAAGTTAAAAATAGTGCCCATCCTTGGAGGAAAGGGTAAGTAAAATGAGGTGGAGAAGTACTACGAAAATGATACAATTATCTAAAATAAACTGTACACAGAGCAACACAGATCTAAAACACAATAATTAAGTATTTATAGCACTAGTCCACTTACTAAAAATATATACCTACACAATCCATGACATGTTTTCCAAAGGATATATTGGGTAGACCAAAAAGTTTGTTTAGGTTTTTTTTCATAAGATGGCTCTAGTAGCACTTTGCTGTCTTTAACACCATTCAAAACAATTTTGTTATATTGTATTGTGAGAGCTGTCATATCAGCATTCATTTAAAGAAGCTGGTGAATTTTTGTGCAGTCATTTTAATATTAAAGATAGAAGAAAATGTGCAACATTTTTGGTATATTATGCTTTACTATTTCAAGAAAAGTAAAAACACAACAGAAACAAAAAAAGATTTGTGCAGTAAATGGAGAAGGTACTGTGACTGATTGAATATATTAAAAGTGGTTTGCGAAGTTCTTGGTACTATTGACATTTTGGCCAAGTGATTCTTTGCTGTGGGGCTGTCTTATGCATTGGAATATGTTCAGCAGCACCCCTGGCCTCTACCCACTAGAAGCCTATAACAGGAGAGAGCCTTCATGCACAAAATATCCAAATCAATAAAGTTATTGGTGAAAATGAAAAATGTCTCTTTTATTTTATGGAAAAAAATAAACAAACTTTTTAGCCAACCCAATACATTAGACCCCGGAACAACTCTGGGGTTATAGGCACCAACTCCTTCTTCCTGTGGCTTCTCACACCCACGTACGCATCCCCTGTGCCCTGGAAAATTCTCCTGTAACATTTGACTCTCCAAAAACTTAACTACAGAATACCAAGAGAATACCCCTCTTAGTATTCTCTGGAGGTTGGTTCCAGGAACCCCTACATATACCAAAATTCACAGAAGCTCAAGTCCCTTATATAAAATGGTGTAGTCAATCAATGCCTATAGTCATCCCTGCACATCTGTAGATTCCCAACTGCTGAGCAAAAACACTATTTTCATTCACAGTTGGTTGAATCTGTGGATACTAAACCCAGGGATACTGATGGCTGACGATGTATGTATTAAAAACAATCCACATGGACTCAGGCAGTTCAAACCCTTATGGCTCAAGGATCAACTGTGTAAATTTAACATAACGTGGTGATTTCCTTATGGGGGAGAGGAATGGTAGGAAAATAGGAATTAAGAAAAAAAATAAAATAAAATAGGGTCTTGCATGCACTGATGATGCTATACTAAAAGCCAAGGAACGTAATTAGCTCAATTCTGCACCTGAGGTGTAAACACACATGCACACACAACCCCTACCACCCCAAGTTCCTCCTGAATTTCTTTCAGGACATTCTAGCAGACAGATCATTCTAGCAGGCCACATCCACAGTGGGAACCCTGGAGTAAAACTGTCTAATCGTATTAAATTCTTTTGGTTGCACTATCTCAGCAGTTCACAGCCAGGGGCATTTTTGTTCCCCCCCTCCCCCCTCCCCCGCAGGGACAGTTGGTGTTGGCAGTTTGTTACTGCTTGGGAGAGGTGAGCTACTGGCATCAATTGGATGGGGGCCGGGCACACAGCTGAACATACTGCAATGCACGGAGCAGCTCCCCTCGCCCAACAAAGAAACATCCCTTCCAAATGTCAGTAGTGCTGAAGCTGAGGACCCCCACACCACCGCACTAGGCTATCCAAATTAGGTGTTTGGGAGACTGCCTTGCAAGCTGACCAAATGCTCCTGTCTTCTTCCCCATCCCTCATCCTTCTCTTTACTCTCCTTCTATCTTCCCTTTCCACTCTTCATTTCTTCTAAAGCACAATCAACTGTCTAGGATGCCTCTCTCCCTCTAGTAGTCATTAATCTAATTAAATATCACACTGATTCTATTGCTCCTATAAAGACTGTGAATGGGATAAACAGATAGTAAGCCTTTAATAAAGGAAAATAATTGCTAGATGCCTTTCACTCCTTTTCCTTTTTTCTCTTAATTGCTCCTGCACACTCCCATCTATTAAAATAGGAAGAGTATCCAGTTTAAGATTCACTGAAGGCCTCTACTAAATCTTTATGAATTTGGGGAAGGAGATAAGTGTCCTAGGAGGGCAAGAGTTAAAAAGAACACACTGAGCCAGAGTCAGGGTCCAAAGGAGATGACAGCCACAGAGGGAAGAGTTTGTACCAAGGTCGGGGGGCTGGGAAGGATTCAGCTTCAATGACTCCAGGTTTGGGGCTAGTGGCTTTAACTCAGAGAGAAGAGTAAGGGAAGAGAGAGTGACCCTTCATAACTTTTAAACTGACCTCCAAAATTCTCTGAGCAATGGAATGAGCCTAAGACCTACCAGGTGACATTGTACATTTAAATGAAGGGAAAATTTTTCAGATAATGGAGACTATTAAACATTAAAATTGAATGTTGTGGATGTCCTGCTCTGTTGGACTTGGTTGTGATTTTAAGGGATTTGGGTATACAGTATTACGGTCCAGTGCAGGCTAAGGATCAGATTAACACTCTTCAAAGCTGTGATTTGTGTTTTCCTGTATTTTCCCAAGTGTTTTATCAATTAGCACTTGCTACTTTGTCCCTAGGGCACTCACATTGCCTCCTGAGTGCCTGAGAGGTATTGGTCCTTCAGTATACCCTGGTTTTTGTCGTTGTGTTGCTAATTGTGATGGTGGTTTTTTGTTTGTTCTGTTTCATTTTTGTTTTTTTTTAAAGCAAAAGTTTGGAAAACCTCTGAAGAGACATTATTCAGTCCTAAAGTAGGAATATGAATATGGTTATATGCACTTTTTCTTCTCCAGATTTAAAAAAAAAAAAAATGTAATTCTTATGAATTATCTTAACTTGAATTAGTTTTCGTAAAAATACAAGAAATTAAAAAGAGAACAAAGACAGAACACATTGGGCACATTTGCCCCTTATATTGAGATAAGTCTCCACTCCGACTACCCAGAAGCTAAATCATCCCGCATTATCCTTTAGAAATCACACTCCTGCCTCTTTAAAGAACTGAAAACGAGAAGGGGGCGGGCCTCCGCAGTGACAAAGGTTCTCATTGGTCCGACTGGGAGGAAGTGAGCGGCGACGGCGTCTCTTCTGCTACCTTCTGGAGGCTGTGGGGTGAGAGGACGAGGCGGGGCTGGCCGTCTGGACACTACGGGGGCAGTTGCTTCACATCGCGGGAGTGGGAACGTGGGGTGCAAAACGGGCCCGCTTCATCGCGGTGGGTTCGGGCCCCTGGCGGCCTTCTCGCGGGGGTGCCACGCCCTAGCGGCCCTGCCGAGGTGGGCCTGGCGCCCCTTCGCACCGCCGAGACCGTGCCGTGTCCCAGGGGCTGGCAGGAAAGTGTTGCCAGGGCTCCGGCCGCCGCTCGCGCAGCTGGGCCGAGGTCCCTGTCTCAACCCCGGTTCTCTCTTTCCCCTGTTCTGCAGGCTCGCTTCCGGCGTCATGGCTCAAAGGGCCTTCCCGAATCCTTATGCCGATTATAACAAATCTCTGGCCGAAGGCTACTTTGATCCTGCTGGGAGGGTGAGTTTGGGATACACCTGCCTGAATCCCTACCTCCAACCCCCAGTGTTTGGAAAGGAGCTCAGTTTTGCCTGAAAGGGATGAGCCTCCCTTTTTGAAAAATATTTAGTTCGACGATAACTGTATAAAATATATTTTAAATATACAAAATACATGTTAAAATATACAATTTGAGCTTTAACATGTAGACTATAGGGAAATCATTTTTAGTTGATCATTGAAATAACCTCAGTCATTGATACTTTATAAAAATAGGCAGATGCAGTTTACCATGTAATTTTGCATTTTCGATCTTCTGATTTGCTTTTTGAAAGAGAGGTGAAAAATTCCGACGGTATTTCACACGTGCCTTCTTAATTGTTTTATGACTGTACACAAGTATAGGCAGGGTGATGATGAGAATAAACTGGAAAATGTGGTAAAGACATCTTTAAACCGAAAGTGCTAAGAGAAATTTGGGACATAGGCCTGAAATTATTTGTACCATTCCCACTTTCTGTAGGACATCCCCAGAGCTGAAAAAAACTAGTAAATTAAATTGGTTTGCGCCTCGCAAACTACTGTGCAGAAAGAGAAGCTGTATGTGAGTTACCAGAGGCCTGTGTTTTCTCAGGTTTCTTTGAGGGAGTGTAATTGTTACGAGAGAATACAGTTCTTTTTAAGAATACCTAGTTGAGAAATCCTAAGAGTGAGTGTGACCTCTTTAAATGCACACGCATTATTTAAAATTTTATCAGATTATTTCTTCTAAACTCTAAAGTCACATGCAAAGCATTTCACATGGGCTATCATGGCCGTAGATTTTTCGCATTTTCAAGTGAACTTGGCAGATGGCCGTGTGAACCTGTGTTCTGCGTAGCTCTGCAGATCCTGAAGCTGAACTATTGTCTTGTCTTGTTGGAGGAAGACATGCTGTTTCATGGTAACTTGGCAAAGAGAACACTTGAGGATGTATCCTAATGACAGGCGCCTTCAGGAAAATGTAGCTCACTATTTAGGCTATTTATAAATTAAATACTTTTCACAAAATTAACTCTATATCCAAAGGAGAAAAAGAAAGATATTCTTCCATTTAAACTCCAACCCCAAAAGAACAGTAATTTATTGCCTAACACGTGGTTTTTGAACAGATCCCTGAAAGAACCTAACATACAAGTTCTAAAATTGTTTAACATTAAACACCAAGGATGAGCCTCTGGAGATCTGTCCTTCATTTGTTAACACACACATTTTAATAAGGAATTGGTCTGTTTTTTTGGCATCTATCAAAAGGCGGGGGAAGGGGGGTTTTTAGTGACTCTTCAAATATCGCTAGAGTTTGAACAATTATGTGGTCTGCCACAAGCAATCAATATTCCCGGGCAGGTCACCTTTATTAAGCGCAGTAATGTGCCAAATAGAAAGTAACTTCCCGTCCTGAAGCTGTCTCATTACTCTTGGTCTCTTAAAGCCAAGCAAGATGATAAATTATCCATTATCTGTGAACAAAAGATGACACGTTATGTAGATGCACTCTTCTATTTAGTTGAGATTTATAGATCTTTTATATTAATATTGAAGTGTATTTTCTTACTAAGTGTATTTTTAAGACTTGTTAAAATCTTAACCTCTTGGCAGAAATTGTTAAGTAGTAGGAATACGTCCTTCACACAATGCGGTTTCTTCTTCAGTGTGTGAAATAAGGGATCGTAGAGGTGCTGGAGGGGCTTCAGAATAAATAATCCAGAGGTGGTTGATAGTCTGATTTGCCTTATCAGAGATGCTCTTCAGAAGTAAAACTTAATGTCTTTTTTTTTTCTTAATCCTTACCTGAAGGTATGTTTATTGATTTGAGAGAGAGACAGACAGACTTGAGAAACATCCATTGGTTGCCTTCCATACACACCCCAGTCTGGATCGAACCTGCAATTTTGGTGTGTGGGACAACACTCCACCCAACTGAGCCACTTGGCCAGGGCATAAAACTTAATATATTATTATTATCAATAATAATTCTATACTGTTTTCTTACCTTTTTCAGTGTTAAGATACCCTTTTTAAAAGATGAGATTAGATGCTAACAGATAGTGGTTAGGTTTGTTTTTACAATCCTTATGTGGTGAAATAAAGTGTACCCTTGTAATGTTCCCCAACATTGTTTTGCAGTTTTATTGCTTTGTGAAGTCCAAGTCTGGGAATCACAGCAAACATCTTCTGATTTGTGGTTAATTTAATTAAATGATTTTTATTATAATAAAAACATATTGGTCCAGTTTAACATTGGCAGTCTATTTTAGTATTTTAAAAACTTTTATGTAAAACATTGACATTACAGCAAAAATACAGTGGACCCTTGAACAGTGCAAGGGGTTAGAGACGCTGACCTCTCAAGCAGTCAAAAATCCGGGTGTGACTACAGTCGGTCCCCGCGTACTCGATTCCCAGCCGCGGAGTTGACCCTTGAACAATGCAGGTTGGAGCTGCACAGTCAAGTGAAAAAACCCACATAAATGTGGGCCTGCACAGTTCCAACCTGCATTGTTCAAGGGTCAACTATACTTCCTTTCTTGAATATTAGTATTTTTACATTTTGTTACTTTGTTGTTACTGTTTAAGAATAAAATACAGTAAGTCCTAACTATGACTTTAAGCAAAACAACATATACCAAAACCAATTTTACCACAGGCTGATGTATATAAACAAGGGTTAAGGTCCTGTGGCGTATTTCTGGTGACAGAAACATCACCAAACTTCTCAGTAAAGACCCAAAACACGTCTGATATTAAACACTGAAATAAATGTCAGCTCTGCATACATTTAAGACAGATTCATAGAAACAAGCCCAATCGTCCCCGTCCAGCCCGCTTAATCCGGGGCAGGGCTGGCAGGAGCCTGCCCTGCCAGCGTGGGGTGCAGAGCTGCGGCCCACCCAGGACAGACGCCCTTCCTTCCCCCCCGCAATTGCAAGAAGCGTACGCACACTCAGTCGGTGACAATTTAGATACCGGTACCCCTCCCGCACGCATCTTTGGGATGTGGGAGGAAACTCGAGTTTCTGGAGAAAACCCTGGACATGGGGAGAACGTGCAGACTCCACACTGACAGTGGACCCGGCTGGAATCCATTTTTTTCCTCATCACTATCATGAAACAACATTTAACAATGAGGTTATTTGAGGAATTGCTGTAATTGTCCATTTCTCCCAGGCAGAAAAATGTGGCCTACGTGGAAATAAAGTACTCTTCTCTTCTTGATAGGCCCTATCTAAGCAGTCAAGTGGCCCACGTATTTTGATGTTTGTGTTCCTCTTCATGTCTGCAGCTGACCCCCGAGTTCTCACAACGCTTGAACAATAAGATTCGAGAGCTTCTGCAGCAAATGGAGAGAGGCCTGAAGTCAGCAGACCCTCGGGACGGCACGGCCTACACTGGCTGGGCAGGTATGAAGTGCTGGCCGGGAGCTGGCCTCCGCCCTGCAGACGGTTGCCACGCATTGCCCTTCTAGAGCAGGCTGACGCAGTACCTACACACGCTTCCTGCGTCTGTGTGTGAGTAATTGCTGTGCCCTCAGCCTAGCCTGGGCATCGCCTGGGTTTTTCACGGTGCTCTGAACTTAGGGCCGCGGAGGCATGTTCATGGAAGTTATGCCTGACGCAAATTTAGATGGCTGCTTCCGAGGAGCAAAACTGATGTTCAGCAATATGTAGTAAATTTGGAGGTTAAACTTGAGTGAGAAGAGCTCCATGATAGAATGTGCGAAATAGAGGTAAGGAGATTTATCCATAGGAAATGAAACGTCCAAAATCATTGTTTTTTATAAAAATACCACATAACAGGGAACCATACAGAACACGGTGAAGTATAGATTCTGTGAACTAATCTTTTCATATAGTCATTGCTGGTTGATTTGCTTCCATTGTTTTGGACATCATTAAGCAATTGGAGAAAATCTGGGTAGTACATAGGTGTCAAAAAGGTAAGACAGAAACCGAAGCAGGAAAGTTGAAGAACTGCACTTAGTTTACTAATGTGGAGAAACAGAAAGAAACTTTATAATCTTGAAGAAAGCACAGATTAGAGACCCAGTGCTTCCCGGTCACTCTGAAAACTAGACAAGTAGGAACAGGTTTTTCAGTTTAGGAATTTGAATTTGATTTTAAAGCAATGGTGCTTGTCCTAAAAATGCAGTTCCTGAGCCTCCCAGCAGGGATTCTGGTTCAGGAGGTTGTGAATGAGTCATCTTTGCCCTGGACTTTGAGAGCAGGAATTGCCAACATCAGTCTCTTAGCAACCCTTCTTCTAGTAACAAAAGTGATTCTGCCTCTCCTTATGGGGATGGGAAGGCAGTTAAAATGGGAAGAGAGTAAAGATTATAATCTCTCAGGGACATGTAAAGTCAGTATTTTATAAAATAAGAGGAATGGGTGGGCCCCTTCTCTTATAGTTTATTTAGTTTTATGATTTTTGTGGATTTTAGAAGCTTAACGCAAGAAATGTTAGGATGAGACTTAAATGAATGTATTTTGCTTCAGAATGGAAGTTATAACAACAATGGTCATTTATTGAGTATCTTCTGTGTTCCTGGTATGCTGTAATTGGTAGATTAATCACATTAATAAGCGTTACTATTTATTTAAAATTAGGAGGATTTGAATAAAATGGGACAAATACAATGCATGGTAATCTTTAGCTTTCCTCTTGATTTTGACTTTGTAATGAGGCACAGACATATAGATCTTTTCTTAATATATTTGGAGTTTCTATTATTTTGTTATTCTTAACCAAAAAAAGAGAGAAAGACAGACAGACAGACACTGAAGCAGGTGTCTAGGTGTAATTCTACCTGATTACAGAAAGAAGGACTTAAACCTCTAACTTACCTGCTTTCATGTTACCTGTTACTGCATATCTATAAGGGGGCCTTGCTTTAGGGGGAAAAGAAGTGGGGACTGATCTCAAGTTTGAATTAGGAGTTTGACAGTGTTAAGAAAAGCCATCGGTGAGACCCTGCAATTGCCAGGGCTAGTTGACAAATGAGAAGTAAGATTTTTCTTGGACATAGAAATTCTCCTCCAAAATGAATTGAAAGTTTATTTAACTTTTTTGGCAACCTGAGGTTTCTGGCATCATCTCCTTTGACTTGTCAATATCCTCCAAATTTTTACCCTTAAGCTCCTGTGATACTCACTGCCGGCGCCTGGAAGTGGCTTCCATGGCAAGTGTCTGAAGCACATTGGTATAATGAGCAGTTTGGGATTTCTGCAGTTGCTGGCTGTTTTATGATGTAGCATAACATCTAGATAAATTTGCTAACAGTTTTTGATGCAAGGTTCCCTCTGTCTCCTAATCAAGCGCTGTTCAGAAGCCATTATTCTAACATAAAGTGGACTGTCTCTTCCAGTGTTCTGAGAAGTAAAATGTTTTCCTGTGCTGGTGTTCAGACCATCTGAATGGCCTGAAACTGACACACATGAGAATCGGAAGCTGATTTGACCATGGAAGGTCACAATGTTAATACCTCCTATTATTTTATATCTTACCAAGTATTTCTATTCAAAATGGCAATTTTAATGCCAAAAAATACATTCACAAATAACACGGTAAAAATACTTGGTGTGTGTCCAAGCTGTATTTATATCATGTGTAGACTTGTGTTTCTTTGTATATGCCCTATGTTATCTTCCAGAAATTGATACTTTTTATAAAACAGGGATTATACTTCATTAACTTTGTTCAGCACCAAATTTAGGGTCATATTCTGATAAAGACTAATTTACTTTTGCTCTTGTTGCTAACTTGCCCAAAATTGTTGCTTTGGAAAACAGTAATTCATTGTAGAAACCTCTGAAACTTTATTTCCTTCTTCAGTGTTGGTATTTACTGAGCATTTGTTGTCAGTTTACAATGAAAGCTTTTGCAAGTTATAGTATTCATTACATAGTTTGTATGAGAAATCTTCATGATTATTACATTAGTTAAAACTTTAGATTACCATCCTAGTATTAAGTTTCATTCCCCTGTACAAACATGATCAGTACTTACATCTGATTCAGATAAGATTTAGATTTGGAGTAGGATTAGGTTCAGCTGCATATACTCAGAAGAATCAAAATTGCAGTGCCCTAAATAAAATGGAGACTTATTTTATTTTTCTCTCACGTAAAAGAAGGCCAGAGACAGGCATTCCAGAGGTAATAATAGCAGCCTCGGACGTCATTAGAAACCTAGTCTCCTTTGTTTCTGCTCCATAACCCCTCAACCACTGGCCAGATACCTGGCGACCGTCCAACCATTACCCCAGCTTTTCCAGCACCAGGAAGGCAAAAGAAGCAATAAAGAGACATTTCTTCCCTTAAAAAAGACTTCCTGGAAGTACCACTTAACATTTCAGTTCTACTTACTTTGAATTGGCTGGACCATATTCAATAGTCATTCCTGTTAGCAAGGAATGATGGTAAATGTAACCTGTTAGCTGGGGTTCTGTTAGGAAGGAAAGACGAGAGTGGGTTTGGGGATCAGACCTAGCAACCTCTGCTATACGTCCTATATAACAAGAAAAATCCTTATTTTCATTCCTATGTTTGCACAAGGATTTGGGCGATGACCCTCAATTTTTTCATCTTCAAAAGGATTTCTTCTCTCCACATTTTGGGAATTTTTATCTATAAAATACTTTGAAATTTGCTAAGCAACATTTTGCCTGCTCTTTCTAGGGAGAGTCAATTTGGATTTTGATCCAAAACACCTTTATCCATTTTCAGTTTTCTCCATTTCAATAATAGCCTTTTCATAAAGCCACCTATAGAAGGGAGGCACTATAGGAATGCCAAATCATAAACAGTTTTTCTTAAGCCAAGTGTAACAAATCTAGAAAGAGACTACAGCTGATTCTAAACTTAATTGTGTGAAATGTTCTTGTTTTCTCTGCTTGCTTAGACAGTTACCTGCCTTCCCTTTCTACTTCCTCTCAAACTCTCATTTGCATTCACAGGGTTATAAAGTCCTTAATTTGTGGGTGCCACATATTAGTCCAGGTGCGTATCCCATATGCGTATCTGTTTTTGCTTCATGATTCCAAAGGCAGATACAAAACTAGGCTGTCCTACTTTATAATGTTCATTCATGCTATGCCTAGGTTTGTCTGAGTTGCTCACTGGATCCTGAAAAGGAAATGCTTTCAATGCTATATGTGTACTCACTACTGAAAAACTGGACTCCTATCATTTTTCCCATTTTCTGTCTTTTCAGCAAAATTTCAGGATAATAAAGACAGAGTACTTACTAGAATTTCTGCTAGCGCACCTCTGTATTTTATGCACTTCAGAAAACACTATGTACATAATGCTTTATTGGTAAGGGTGCTATGTACTGGTTTAAACAGAAATTTCAAGGAAGCAAACATTGCTTTAGGAAGTATTTTACATTCACTTTATAAACTATTTGCAACTGAAGTAGCTTGCCTGCATTTCTTTGAGAGCCCTCCGAAAAAAGTCTATAGATGGGCCCAGGCTGGCCCATCCCACAGCCTCCTCCACAAGGTGTGAGCTCAGCAGGGCAGGGCCACTTAGAGGGTGGGGTCTGTGGGTCTCCTCTTAGAGGACAGGGGAGTAGGGGTATGAAAAACTGCCCCGCCCAGAGCCGCACACCTGTGTCGCCCGCGTCTCTGACAGTTCCTGGGTTCGTCTGAATGCCCCTAAGCTCCCCAAGACGGAGCGCATCGGGGGCCAAAGCTGGATGTAGCGAGCAGGTTTCCTCTGGGGGCACGAGGTTGGCAGGCGGAGCCCCTGGGTGTGGGAAGGCTGAGGTCAGTCAGTGCACTCCCCCAGGCTGGCGCTGTGGGGACAGGAGAGCCAGGGACAGTGGCCTCTGGGCAGTGTGGGATCCAGACTCAGTACAGGGACCTTGGCAGCTGACCCTTCCCTTTTCTCCTTGGGGCCATGCAACCCAGTTCCCTGTGTGACTCCAGTTTTCTCTGAGTCACCTTCCCTCCACCAGAGCCCCAGGCGAGTGGCTGAAGACGAGACTTTGTGTGCAGGCTCTTTAAGAGGGCATTGCTTGCAGCTGGTTTTCACAATCAGGTGTTACATGGGCTGTTCTTCCTGGCTCTGGTGCTCCGGGTTGGAGACCCCTCACTCCCCAGTGGGGACCTTTGTTGTCGAGATATCCCTCTGGATTCCCAAAGGCCACACGTCAGCCATTTGCGCCTCTCCACACTTTCAGCCGGCCTCTCTGTGGCTGCTTCGGTAGATCCTTGGTTGTGAGACTTCTGTTCAGCTAGTCTTTGGTTGGTTTTTCAGGATGATTGATCTGTAATTTAGTTGTAATTCCCACCTGACACTGGGAGGAGGCGAGTGTGGCTTCCCCCTATTCTGCAGCCATCTTACATCCCACCGTAGGCTTTTAATAGGAGTCAGGTTTCATTTTCACTGAGGCTGCATAT